TGGGAAGGAATAAAGAGAATATTTCACTGTACATACAGGAGGCAGGCTCATGGTCTGCTCAACACAGTTTTAACAAGCTACCATTTCCAGATGAATACAGCAATTGTGTATGCTCTCAGCCTTTTGAATAGCTGAAGTACCACCCTAAACACAAATTATCACAACTTACTGAAGTTGTGGGAACTACCCTGACAAACGTTGTAACTTGTGAGGTCACAGCAACTTGACCAGAAGTGAGAGCTCCATTTCAAAACTGAATTAAAGCCTGTATTCCCTCTCTCCATCATTAACTTTTTCCAAAGAATTGCTTTGATTAAAAAAAATGCTTAACTTCATAAGGTTTTGGTAGGAAAACTTGGTTTGTTTTTTACAAAATAATTAGCGCCTACTTCATTTTTCCCCCTCTACCCCCTTAGTTAAATTCCTCTTCCATCCCTCCCACTGCCCAGTTTCTTCTTCCCTTTCCTCCTCCAACCCTGCATACGTCATTATCACTTACCTTCCACTACTCTGATACACATATGCATGTATTCACTTACCCATTTTTCTTCACTTCCTAACATCTAGCTTTACTGTTCAGCTGCCTCATTGCTGTCTCCTTCAGACCTCCTCCCCTCCTGAAGCTGCTTTGGACAGGTACCACTGCTTCCAAGCACAGCAGCTCACCTGCCTTCTTTCCACTCATTTACAATGGCTTTGTCAGGTTTCCAAGGTGTTTCTCTGCACTACAGGTGCAAGAGAGTGACAATTCTCTTTGTTAGTGGTCTACCGACCAGAGTTTTGGAAGAACCGTGACACCTCTAACATAAATAATTTAATATATTAAAATTTCTTTGAATGAAAAAAAAAATCTTTTATTCCCAATATGCACTGAAACCTATCCAGTCCCTTTGAAAAATCTTTAGAACTGAACCAGTGCTTAAAAACTGCTTTTTAAGAGAGACACTCCTACTATTTCATAATTCCTTTGGTTTTTTGTAGTCTAAGTTATAGAGCTGAGTAAGATTTCTTCAGGGACAACACGGATTAATAATAGATGCAGAGGAAGAGCAGAGCTGGTGAGTGCACACACCCTCCTAAACCTCACTGGATATGAAAATGTTTCTAAACAGCATATTCTGCAATGCTGACACGACTCCAGACACTACAGGCTCATTTAAAAAGACAAGATTTTAAAGCTTTTATACTACCGCTACCAAAAGGTCTGTTGTATTTTAAGCACTTCCAATGCAACTTCAATTCTGAAAGCTCACAAGATGTGACCTACAGCGCAAGAGGAGTTTGCAGCTGGAACAATTAATGGAAGAGTCGTTAACTATGGTAGGGGCATTTTGGTGGGGTGAGGGACTGGGGGGAATGTACAGCCTGCAGTAGGGCTGTGTAGTACTTTGAAGACCAACAGGAGCAGTACTGACCTTCTTCATAGGAAGATGCGTTATCCTGGGTAAATACCCCTGGACATCATTCAGCTTTCTGGTACATTTACTGAAGTCTGCAGTACATGACGCAGCATGCTGCATTTGCTAACATTTTAAATAAACATAAGCCCAAATACACTCCTGAACAGCACGGGTGGCAAGCCTGGATGTTTCTTAATTCTACCCTGCTTCAAGCACTACCAGGTTTTCTGTTCTGTCAATAGATAAGATGTTCTAGAGCAAAATAAGTCCAGACCTGGACTTAGTTTGCATTACAGATAGGTGTGGTGCTCCAGAAATAATCACGTCTCATCTTTTAAATAGAAATAAGAAGAATGCAGCTTTTGGGAGAGAATAAGACAAAGTGAAAAACGTTTTCTCTTTTCTATAGTCTAAACTCAGCTTGATGACCAGAATTTTCACTTTTCTTCCTTCTGAGGACATACTCTGTTTTGTTTCTCTGGCCACTCTGTTTCACTTAACAAAACCAGTTATTCTCCTGACTGGCAACAGCACAGAGCACACAAGGTGGAACACAAGGCAGATGAAGTAAAAATACATGGCATGTACTTTCAGGTTTTAAAAAAAAAAACCCACTATAAATTAGATGATAAAATACAAAGTTGTACATAAAGAATAGCAAAATTAAAGTGAATTGGAGTATCTGAAAGCATTCAAGATTACCTGTATTTCTCTCCACTAGAATTATCTGGACACTATAGTAAATTGAAATAGCTGAGTTAATTTGGGTGACTGATTATTCAATACTCACAGTCCAAAAATTAATCTAATTTGTCTCCTTCTGCACAAGATTATATAGGAAACCACACACAAGTTATACTGCTATGCTGTATAGATGTGCATAAACACAAACACACACCTTCAAATGATCTCAAACCCAGCAGCTCTTCAGCAGTAACCAATGGCTTATGAGGTTAACATGGTACAAGTTAAAGCAAAGCCAAGTAGTTAAGCAACACTGCAAATAATTTCCAACAGTTTCCTATCTTTTCCATCTTCCTTTAAACTTTTTCAATAGTTTCTACAGAAATGTCATTGGATCAGAAGAGAGAACTGCTCACAAAAATACCTCTTTGCCCACAAAAGTATGATTCATAATACAAAAAATCTGTAGAAGCTAGGTTCAAATTAATCCTTAGTTACAGGACTTACGAGTGCACTCTTCTGGTTTTGTATAGCTAGATGTAGTCATCAAGTTATATATTGCTAGTTTAAATGCAATTAAACTCCTTTGAACAAATAAGCTGGTTAATTATACCAAGTTTTTAAAGTGTAGCCTTCCAGAAGTAGTCATAAGGGTTTAACATTTCTTAAATTCATGAACACAATTATTTTTAATTTATGGATAAATCATTTTTCCTTAAATACTGATCTCTTCTTTGTGTTATTTCAGATATTCCAACTGACCATTGCCAGAGTCTTTGATTATGCATCTTATCAAAAAACTGATAGATGATAAAACAAATTATGTATATATTGATACCGTCTGCAAGGTAACAGCTTGATTAGAATATTACTTATAGCTTATAGTTCCCCCATGCAGCCCTACAGGATAAATTACTGAAAAGCTGGAGAAATTGTCAGAAGGCTTGTACATGTGTGCATGCAGATGTGTAGACACAAATACTCTAGATATGCTTTAATCATTGCACAATAAAACTTGTGCTTCACTCAGCTTGGTTAACAGAAAACTTAGAGCAGCAGATAGCAGCAGCATGGGTCAAGCTATTCAGTGCATATATCCAAGTTCCCACATTCAAAATGAGAACATTACAAGGTTAGATGTATAATGCTGAATATATTTAATTTTAGCTATTAGGTGACTCAAGAAACTACATATGACAGTAAGGATTACCTTGTAGTTCTGTACCTTGAAAGTATGTAAGTTGTAACAACACAATGTAATTATCTATATTCTACTCAGACATACCCTTAAAAATATCAACATTTCTAGCTGTATGTAAAAATTCTATATCAGCAGTTTCAGGCAACTAACATAATCATGCGTTGGATATTAAAATCGGACATTAGAATTTACAGCTGTATCTGAAGGTATCTTACTAATTTTCTCAATCATTGAGTAATTTGACATAATCATTGCCAAGGTTATTAAAAACAAACAAAAAACCCACTGAATGTATTTATTCCATATAATTTTAGAAGAAAAAAGGAAGTGCTTGCCATAAGTAATTGTATAAGGGCATGAACAGGGCAAGCACAGTCTCCTTCAAAGTCCATAATTTCTTTCTCAGGGGTTGAATTTCCTAAATTCAGAGGCCTGCACTTTGTACCAGTCATGTGAACAGATCTAGGTCTCCTGACTTGCATTTTCTTGATATATAAGAAAAGTATTGGGCTGGAGGGTGAACTGAATTTCACATAAGAGAAAGAGATAAGGGGAGTATAGCACGTATGAAGTTGTGAGTTTGGAAGGAAATTTTAGAGGACTGAAAGTGCAACAGAAAAATAACAGTAGGTTCTTGAAGATAAATATGAAAATAAACCACAGCAAGGAGGACCATCCCATGGCACAGTCTGAGTGAAGCTGTTCATGATATTACTACACAGATTCACTCAGTAGGTCTGATTGAAGTAGTTGAAGTCAAGAGAAGTCACTCCACTGACATCAGTATGCTTCATTCAGGCCACTACGTGCAGTCCTTCTGATCCCTCTTCCTTTCATCTAGGCTGAGAATCCTCCCCATTTCACTGAACAGTACCGTTTCCCATTTCTCTAAGAATCTGTGTCTGTACCCACCCCTCAGAATTCTTTTTTTTTTTCAACCAGTCGCATCTATGCCTGCCTCAAGCCAATAAAATTTATAGAGCCTCTGCACCCCTCTTGGAACAGGCAGGAGCAAAGCCCATCGAGTATATTAGTGCTAATGGGAAGGCAGTGGATTGAGGAGAGGCTTGGGAACTCTGGGACCATTAGAGTAATTGCAAGCAGTGAAAACATACACACACAGCTAAAACATAAGGGAAATTATTTACTTTTGTTTGTTTAAGCTGTGCATAGGGAGTGCAAAGCTTTTTCATGCAAATTATTTACAGCCCAAATATTGCGTAAGGCATGTCAAACACTGAAGCACAGGTCCAAATTTTATTATCTAGTGTTCAGACCTCATGGCTAGTCAGAATATCCCCTAACAGAACAGTTTCAAAAGCAAACTCTACCCTCATGGAGCCTGCCATTACTGCATTTAAGCACTTACTAAGCTTTGAACTAATGCTTTCACATTTTTTTCTGGTGTATGTGTGACAATGTTGACGGCAGTTTCTATCAGTTTAGGATACAAACTAGAGAGACTAAAACATTATCACACTATGTTGGCCAAATGTTTGAAAGCAAGAAATCTCCCATTGCTTCAATTTCCTTCAAATACTTAATATTTTCCTTTGGGGAAGTAACTTGTGTTTTATCATAATGATTTCTATTTGCTTCTGGAGCATGAGTCATGGTCTTCAATTATTTTCAGTTGACTGTGTAATTATTAGTGAGAATAGGGTTTGGCTAGTCTTTATTCAGTTTGGGGTTTTTTAATAAGAATTTCTGCTTACCTTCAGGTGAAGTACCTGGCTTTTGAGAAAATGCAGAGCTTATTTTACTCTTCTTGCTGCTGTTGCTGTTGACAGACAAGGTGGACTGAATTTTTCTGTGCATTTTTTCTGAAACAGGAGCCGAAAGTTTTCTGTTGTCTGCAGGTGCGTGCTTGACCCCGTTGTGAATTCCACTTCCATTACTCAGACCTGCGTGGCCGTTTTGGATTTTGCCACTTTCTTCCTCACCCCTTTCCAGTGCTGAAGTATTCGGCTGAGGCAAACGTTGAGGTTGTGCTTAAAATGAAAGAAAGAAAGGGTTAATTAAAATTGTAAATTCATAAGTGAACACTTTAGGCTAGACTGGGAAGGCAACTTTCATTGCTCGTATTGATCAAAGAACAGACTGAAAAGTTTAACATTCCCCCATCAAAAAAAGAAAAAAAAAATCTCTAGATTAAAAATAATTACTCTTTATTCAGAAAGTGCCTCATGTCTGTATGAGGCCTAGATTCCCCCTTTATCACTGCATGGAAACATTCACAATGCTCTGTGAATTAGACAGAGAGACTAAGTCATTTGAAGAAAGAAAAAAATCGGGAATGGCAAAAAAAGTAGCAAAACTAAGATAAACTAAGGGAACCAAACGAAGAAAGGGAGGGGGGGGGGAATGCAACAGAAGGAGAGAAAAAGGTACGGGACAGAAGATACAGACTGAAGTAACAGAAGTGAAGCTGCAGGCTGGCCAACTGCCAGTCTTCAGAAAATAACCTCAGTGGCAAGGTAGAGGCCCTGCACCAAGGAGCCACCACAGACCTGTATATTAGGGATGTATAGGAGTACCCAGGTAACTAGCAACAGTTTCAGCTTAAATTCATAAAGATTGTGGATTTCTGGGAAAAACAAAACCAATCAAAACCTGGGTTTGTGGAGGAGGTGATCCAGTAACCAGAAGGAACACACATTCAAACACTGCACAGCTGTGGCAAGCCAATGTGTCTGTCCGTCCCTCCATCCCCCATTCCTCCATTCAGAATCACAATTTTAATGTGTTGGCCCATTTATATGTATATGCATACATTTAATGTAATGGGCCAGTTAGGGCTTTAACGGCAACAAACTGAAATGGTCAAAGGAAAAAAATACAAAACCTGCCAAGGCAGGAATCCGCAGTGGCCTGGTTGACTCCAAGAGTACATTCTAGTGAGCGGGCACGGAACTTGACCATTCTTTGTTCAGCTCTGGTATCATAAAGGAGCAAATTTTTAATAACATGGAAAATACATTGTCTATGTATTTAAAGTCTGTATCTAAAGAAAAGAAAAGATGCAGGATTTTTTTTTTTAATGTAAAGCTTTGTAATAAAAAAAGTAGTTTCCAATTAAAGATTCTTATTTAGAAAAAAAATTGCAGACTTTGTTCGAAAACTAATTAAACTATACACATAGTAACAGAACAAGATTTCATAACCAAAAAGCATAAGCCTAATCACCTCTCCTAATCAAAACACTACTGTATCATGCTTGGACACAAAGAGGTTTTCAATCTTCAACTGTTTATAAATCTAGTGTCAAGGAAAAAGCCCAGATTCTACTGAATACTCAGCTGAAGAGAGCTTAGACACTGCCAACAGTAGAGAAACACAGTGCTGCAGTTCGTTCTCTTTTCAGATTATTCAAATCCATTTCCAGATGATTTCACAATATATCTTCATATGTAGATTACATTGTGTCCAGGATAACAATTTGTATATATAATTATAGTTAGCTTCCTCTAAAAGGAACATCTCCACTGATCACTTCAGGTACAAGTGACCAAACTGTTGGACAAATACTACTGGGATACAGTAGTGGTGGATCAATATGGTCTCTAAAAAGACTCTGAGTTCTGAATTTGCCTAACAAAGCCTCAATGCTTCCCTTTTATCAAGGACACTGATACCATTCTCAGATTGTTTTCTCCAATTATCATAAACTTGTCCAGATTAAACTTCAGCTAAATCTTTAACTCCTGGTGACATTCACAGGCAAAAAGAGATACTTTTCAGAATAGTTTAAATACGAACTCGTTCCTTTTTTTTTTGCCATTTGATTTTTTTTAGTCATAGCAAGTAAGATTTTAAGAAGATCCCCTAGACTATCCACATCTATCTAGGTCAGAGTAACCCTGACTGAACCTACTTCCCAGAAGTGATAATTTTGTGTTGCAGAAAAGGGACAGCTGGGGGAAACATTTACGCTTTAGTCTCCCCAAAGATGTCGCAAGGAAGACAAAGATCATTCCCCTCCATTACCAGCAGTAACTGCTCATGAGCCTCCAAGCTAACAGAGCAGGAGCACAACGCTATCTGATACCTGAACAACTGTTGCCCAAAAAGTTTTCAATGGCAATAGAGCAACGGCTTCTCCTTTCAATTTTGCATTTGCACTTGCAAAACCTACAAACAGAAGCATAAGCAAGGCACTTTCTGCACTCTGGAATTCCATTAGTAGCATATATTCCATTCCAGACTATCATAAAAGCCCCCAAACAAGTTTTTAGGGAGTTTTCTCCCACCTGAAACAGGATTCTTTAAAAGTATACTACCAGGAACCCTTTGTGTAGGACATCTTTCAACATACGTGCAAAACAAATTTGGTTAAAAAACTAATCAAATCCTTCCATTTTAAAAACAGTCAATGTAGACCTAACTACAGTAAAAAATAAAATCTTTAGCAACAACAGGAACCAAAATTTTTACTCTCTGAAGTTCAGTGTTCATACCCACAGCTCCCCATAGGCTTTGTTTTCATTATCCCTCTCCAATGTAAATTGTGCTATTAAAAACAGTGTTTTTCACGTTCCATGTAACGATGTTTCCTCACACTGTGCCGCTGCCTACAATTCCCAACTGTGGAGTGGTCCAGTTACACCAATAACCTAGAAATACTGGGGAGAGCTTAACCTTCCTCAATAAATAAAAGCAACGGACTATACTAAAAATTCTGTATGTCTGGACACGCAAGTTTGTAAAACTGACAGTTATGACCTTTTCCAAGCCAGCTAAATTGGTGGTGGCAGCTTACAGTTGTTTGCATATTTTTGGTGCTGTGGTATATAATACAGTAACCTGGCAAATTATCCAAAATTTCATCTTCAAAATTAGGTGTGTTTCTGTCAAACTGTGCGTGAATGGGAAGTCTTGGGGAATCTAAATAGTCATTTGTGTTTGCTTTTATTATTATTTTTGTTAAGGTTGTTTGGGGGGGGAGGGGATAGGTTGTTTTGGTTTGTTTTTAATAATCCTGTTCCCAAAGTACTCTTACTTCAGTCTTCTAGCATTAACATACAACTTTTTAGCTGACTGGCTTTACAGTATTCACATGTGATACGCAGGTCAAATCAAAATGGAATAAAACCCCAAATGGATTAGTTATCTCAATTTAAATTTATTTTAACTTTATTGATAATTTTGCACTAGGGAGACTTGAATCTTATGGTTAAAACACACTTGAAACCAATTAGGAGCCATATGACCGCATTCTAGCATAAAGAACAAAAGCAATTGACAGTTCCAAGATTAAGCCACAACCACTCGGTTTAAAACAGAAATATTTTTACCTTATTTTTTAAAGGTTGTGTATATCTTAAAAAAAAAAGGTGTAATATGGGGAACGACACAATGCTTCTTAAAACACAGTGATACCCAGGGACTCTCACTCTCTCTTTAATGATCCACTGCTCTCATTCAGCTGTCTTTCTTTTTTCAAATCTTTACATATGTGACAGCTCTCAAAAGTAGACCATAGACCATCTGGCATTTTCAGAGGTGTAACTTGTGCAAATTCAGCTCTACTGGGAACACAATGCTATCTTCTGCCTGCGTTATAAAAGATACAATAGAATGTAGAACTTATGAGTTGTTTTGAATTATTCATTTTTTGCCTGTATATTCAAGAAATTTTACAAACTCTGCATTTTGTACTACATAATCACATGCGTTAAAGGTACAAAGAAACTTTTTGACACCTCTTTTCTACAGAAAGATGGCATTTTGTTTGATATGTGAACATTCAGCGCCTGTTATATCATTCTAAACAGGCCGTGTGCTGCTACAAAAGATCCCATTTTACACTCTATGTATGAGCAAAAATTTTATTCTTGATATTCAGTAACTAATGCAATACGCATCAAAATTTCAACTATGAGTTGGATGAACATTCAGCATCTTCAAATCAGGATGGCACTGGTCACTTAGTATATGTTAAAGATTTAAAAAAAAAAAAAAATCATTCCTCATGCAACATAGAAATATTGTCATTTCAAACATCCACAATGAATAGTTTCAAATGTCCTAAGAACTACTGTGCTTTTTAGGTTAATATGTTTTTAATCTTTAGCAAAACCAGTAGATTTAAGTCAATATTTTATACAGTGCTAACACTAGCGGATTTTCAATAAGAATGATAAATATTGGATTAATGATTCAATAGACTGAATCTTTTTTGATAGAAAACTAGCAGATAATGTAGGTAGTAATAACTATACATGAATCTGCTGCCTGTGGAAAAGCTATAAAAAGGCAATATATTGCTATAGCATATAATCTATTAGCGTGTTTCACTGCTTCCTTGTCATTGGTTTCCTTGCAAAGTGGGCCTTCATACAATACATACAGCTGTTATTTAAGTGACTTTACATAATAATTTAATTGCGAGGTTACTATCTGGTGAATAAATATTCAAGTACTAAACATTTACTGTGGTTTTGAAGTTACTATGCACGTTCGCATTCAGACTGTAAAATCCCTCGCGCAGTTTAAATGAATATATGCACCCTGCCAATACATTGTTTACACCTTGCAAAATAACAGCTGTTCTTAGGAGAAAAATCCTGATGCATGCATTTAACAGAAAAATGTATGTCAACACAGGGAAACTCTCAACCAAAAGAGGACAGTCTAAGCTATCATTAGGGATTTTAGACAAAACACAAAACCAAACATACAGGAAGACAGACTCCTCAGAGTCAAAGTGAATCAAAAGAAAACATCAGGAGGCAGAGAAGAATTGAGACAGCTAATTAGTAGCCTAATCACATCAAAAGCAATTCCAAGGCAGCCGATACAGATGCCCGTGGAGTTTGCTAGGCTGGCCAATGCCACCGATGGAAAAAATACTTTCCAGTTTCCAGCCTGGGTCATCTGGCAGCATACCCGGAGAGGTAAGAACGCTGGTTTTCGTCGTTTATGACACAATAGTTTATGACATCAGATCAGACCACAGAAGCAATATTTTTGCAGGTGGAGTAGGGAGGAA